GCCTATCACCTCCGCAATCAAAATAATAATAATAATAATAATACGCACACATTAGAGGAGAGAGTTCAGACGCTGCGGGGTTGTTGCACCCATTGTTTGCCGTGCAGTTCGCCATAATACAAATGGGCGCCTCACAACGGTCTTCGACAGCAGGGCGACAAGAACGGCAGACGCATATATGCGTCAACTTCATCGCTCCCGGTAGCTGTTAATCGCAGCCAAAAGAAAAAGGGAAATAAACAAATTTTTATTTAGGCCCCTCCAATGCCGCTAAAATCCTTGTTTATGTGTTGAAGGCCGCAAAACGATGATGAAAAATTTCCAGCCCAATACAAAATCTGCCGTGACGCCGCGCGCCACCACTACTTCTGCAACTGCACGAGCTATAGACACAAAGGACATGAGACTCGCACCCGTTTCCAAACTCACTGGCCCACTCTAGGCGTGTACGAGGAAACTATCAGAGTCCGTCCACTGCATGCGCGAGCACTGTGTTCTTCATCGTAGCAGTTGACGTTACCTGGGGGAAAGTGCCAACCTGAAAAGGCCGTCCACGAGGTTTGACAAAGAGAGACATTAGATGTGGCACCAACAGATGTAGCTAATTTCATCGCTTCCTCGCTGCCAATGGGGGAAATTGGTTGTCATCGTCCATGGCACAACCCAGGAGTGGGTCGAACGTGAGAAGCAACAACTGTAACAATAAACTCACCAGAATCGTTGCAGATGGAACAGAAAAGTTATCACGTTCCTCTTTTTCATCTTCATACGGCACCGCAGCGCCGTATGCCGCCTAGTCAACGTGCAGCGACAGCATCATCCTCACCTCCAAAATGAGGGTAGTGGAGCTGTTGCCACATGCACTGTATTGTATCGCGGCGGTTGTGAGCTGTATCAGAGACGTTTCTCCCGTGGCATGTGGGTGTCGAGATGGCGTTCGCTGGCCTCCAGTGGTGTTGGCATTCATACTACGAGAGAAGGGATGGGAAAGGAAAATAATAATAACGACACGTCAAAAGCGGAACTGGTGACGTCGGCGCATCCGGCGGTTCCTTTCAGCAAGACCTGCATGTCAATTGCCTCACATAACAGATGCCACCTCGTCTTCTAACCGTCGTCGCCCCTCCGTGGCACTCAGCTGTCAGTATCGTTACGCCACCCTCAAATTCATCACGCGACAAAAGTCACGAACAATGCCTGTTTTTACTTCGCACCTCCTAAGCAACAAAAGGCGCCCAAAAACGCCCAGTTTACCCGCAGAAAGTCTCCATTTAACGGTGACATCTCGGATGCAACTACATGACAAAAGAAGAAAAGAGAGACGCTAACACTTACAAAGAGAGAAACCATTGAGTCTCTCCTTCAGGCCAATGTCTTCTTCGACGTCAGCCGTGGCGCTGCCGAGGCAAACTGGGCACTCTTGTTGACTGGGTTGGGCACCGTCAGCTCTAAAGCCAAAGTGCGTGATACATCATGCCATGAGCGCCGCCCTGCAGTCGGCAAAAACGGCGCAGCATCGGCCTCCTTCCCAAAAGAGTATAGATCCAGAAGTTCAGTCTCGCGACTTTCACTGAAGTTCGTCGCACCCGTCGCTGCTGCTGGAGACAAAGCAAGCGGTGGCGGCGGCGTCCTGGTGCCCTCAAACGTTTTGTCAGCCAACTCGCTGCAGTACGCCCGCCACACTGGCGTTCCCTCCTCCACCACAGTCTGTAGCACGGCGTGCACCAACTCAGCGATGATGTTTTCCATCACATGTGTACCAAGCACATTCAGTACGAGCTGTTCTGCGGCCGCTCTTGTCGCAACGCTGTGAGAGCGGTCCTGCCGTGAGTACATCTGCAACTCACCAAGACAGCTGAGAAGAATAACCGTTTTTTCATCTTGGCGAAGCTGCAGCGACTGCTCCGTGGCACCGTTACCCTTCTTTGCGGAGTCGCTATTCCTGTTCTTTTCCTCCTCACCGTGTGTTTCGACACCATCACCAGCTGCCGCGGCGTCGCGCAAAATCAGCTGCCCCATGTCAAGCTCGTCAAAAATCCGGGCGAGGCGTCGCTTCGACAGAATGTACTGCACAACGCTACTAAGTTCCACTGCCTCCAGCCGTGGCATAAGTCGCGCGACGCGATCCACTGTCTCTTGTTTGGCGTAGCCGTCACCCACCAACATGAGGTTCACAAAGGCATCCTGTGCAACAATCACGGAGCTGGCCCCGTTTTCATCCGTGGAAAGTCGTGGGATAGAGTGGCACAGGATCCCCCGCTCCTGCAAATGACGTATTGTGGAGGCAAGCCGACCCCGGCGACGATCCTCCTTTTTATGTGTCACTTCGTCAATATACTCAAAGTTCAGGCGGATGTGTTTCCACAGCTGCTGCATCATCGCTTCGTGTCGCTCAGGGACAACATAAGTTCCGCAAATGGCGTTCCGGGCAATGTGTGAAACACTGGCAGCATGCTTCCCCCATGAGTCATACTCCACATCGCACAGACGACAGGTAGCGCATCGCGTCACGGTGAGAAGCACAGCAGTAAGGTGAATTCTCACGCCCCGCGTGAAGCCGCGCCGCATAGCAACTGACTGCAGCACCTGTCGCCCTTTCGATGGGCGGCGTCACCAAGGTTTTAAGACAAAAACAAGGCGAACCCTGGGCAAAGGCAGAGAGTATCGTCCCCTTCGCACTTTTCTTACCTCACTCGGGGTTATTCGCTGCTCTTCAAGCTCCTCCACAAAAAGAGGGACGGTAAAATAAAAAAAAAAAAGAAGTAAAAAAAAA